TATTGCCGCCCTGGCTGTTGGCCAAAGTGATTTCTGGTTGTGAGGGAGTGAACAAGTGAGCATCGTTATGACTTGGAAGGAGCTCAGTTCTTGCTTGCTGAGAACTCTGGAGACATAGAATGGGACAAAATAAGTACAGAAATGTATCACAATGTGGGAGCTGATAAGAAGATGGCATACTCCTGTAAATTTCAGGTATTTAGGACATGGCCCACAGGCTGTGGGAAAAGTATGCAGAGGTAGGTAAACCTGGATGAAGGAGAACAAGAGGTTTTCTCTAAGATCTATGTGTATCTCCCACTCGGAGGCAATCATACATCAGCAGATTTGTATTCTGATCATGGAGAGGTGAACCCCAGTGGCTTCTCCACAGCTGTGATTCTGCCCCTCATCTTTCATGGTCATGAGTGACCATACGGCCTCAGGAACAGCAGCACAGTGTTAAAAAATGTGAGAGTTTACAGAAGTCTACAGCAGAGCCTCTTCTGCGCTCTTTTCAAGAGGAGGGAAAAACAGTTCAACGAAAAGGTAAAGATGGGACACCCCCCCTGCCTCCAACCCCAGTATTTTTTCAAGGTACAAAAGGACTTCTAAAGAAACTATCCCACCTCCTGCAGAACAGGACAATTGAACTCTGACATCCATGGGGAATTTCTAAATGAAAATTTATGGATTTTTTAGGAATCTTATTTTGGGTGTGGGGAAAGAAAGGAGGAAAGAAGGAAAGTAAGTTCCATGGAAAGCTGCCATTCTTCATTGAATCAAAAATAGAACTTCTTGGAAGTTTACCAATCAGGCATTTTTATGTGGAAAACATTAACTCTGCAGATTGGGCACTGTCCAAGTTAAAATACACACCAGTTTTGGACAGGAATAGAGTTAGGGGTCTAGATGTGTTCACTCTCAAATACGTGCCAAACAGTCCCTGCTATAGCAGGACGTGAGACACTCACAAAACCTGTTACTTTTCTGGAGCACGTTATAAATCTGGCTTTGGGTGTCCAACTGTGCATCCACAGGGTTTCTGGGAGGTCTTAGGGAGTCCTGGAACATAGCTTGCCTTTTACAGTCAGTGGAGATCCTGTTCGTACACTTAATGGAGTCCCTGAGCTTTTTTTCTTTTTGTCTGAGTTTGACACCTGCACTTGGAGAGATGACCTATGCCTGGCACCACACTCGCAGTGAGGGGACTGGAGGAAAGGGATGTCAGAGTGTGGTTTTTCAGGAATGATAACAGGACTGTTTGGTTCAGTCCAAGTGTCTTTTTCTGAAGAATAAATCCATCTGTAGCATAAGTCAAGGCACAGAAGGAGCAGGAAACAAGCTGGGAAACTGGACATCCCCTGGGCTATGATGGAATTTAACATTTTCTAGAATTTAAGGATTGCTACATTGATATCTACTAGGGATGGTGTTTCACACTTGATATTGATGCTTGCCATGAGTCTTTGGGCAGTGGATGAGAACTGGAAATGGGAACAGTTTTTAGCTTGGGAGGCTTCCTCCTCCCACTAAAAAGTCCCAGACTTAACCTTGCTCTATATGTGATCTCATGCATGGTAAGGAGAATTTTGAGTTTTTTTCTAGCCTCTTTCTTCAATGCTCGTCATAACAGTATTGGATCACCCACCTTTTCCATCTCCTTCTCTGCATACACCTGGCCATGCAATTCCTCTGTGCTTCACCTTGTGCTGAATGCGATGCTGTTCTTGGTGAGTCAAATCCAACGAGGCATCAAGATGACCTGACTTTCACCTAAGGAAGGTATGGTGCTGACACTCCTCTTTGGTTCTGCACCATGAGAAAATCCTTTATAGGACAGGTTTGTGTTCCTTTGCTCCACCTGTCCCCAGTCTCACATTATTGCCCTTGGAGCCACACACTGCATGCACCCCCAGCGAGAAGGGCTTTGCCACCTGGGGCTGCACTGAGAATACCTGATTGTTTCACTGTAATTTGGATGGAGAAGGTTGTGTTCGTATTCTTGCCTGGGGCACAGCACAGCTCTTGAGCAGGACTAGTATTTCTGGTTTCTTCACAATACCAACTTTATCAGCCAGATGAAAGCTGAATTATTGAGTTTTTCCAGAGGGTCACAACAAGCTTGGCTAGAGCCTTGTGCCAGTTAGCTGTGTCCTCTGAGCGCCCAAGGCTGAGGCTGCCCAGAACACGGCCACTGGTGCAAGCAGTCTCTCTCTCTCATAAACATGTAGAGCAGCTCAACATTCTCTTGCTTCTCTATTTTCATGCTCCAGTTGCTCAGAATGATGCCAGAAGCAGGACGGGACTCAGTAGAGCCAACATATATATGTCTGCATATGTACGTAGGTAGGTGTATACCTGTGTATGAAAAATGGACTAAGCACAGTTCTTGCTTTTGGATAGTATAAAGCTAGCATTTTTGCTGGTGATAATTTCCAAAGGGTAAAGAGAAGTCACAGCAGAGCTGATCCCACATGGTGTCGTCACTGATGGGGCAGGAGAACTGGCTTCATTCATTCTCCTAGCAAATGAAAGGCTATGTGCCTGTTTGGCAGCCTGTCATTTAGGTAGGGATAAGCTCCACCAAGACTAAACCAGAAGCTAATGAGAGGGGGAGACTGGGAACGTATTGAAAAATGTCCTGAGAAGGGAGGCAGAGGACACAGAGGAGCCAAGCTTGTCCCTCTGTCCAAGTATTGAAGTATTCAAGCTTGCAAGGACACAAGTCATATGATCTGTGCAGGCCACAGGCACCTCTCCTGCAGAGAGGGCAGATGGTGCACTAGGTCAGAATGTCTCACGGAGAGAGGCTGAGCACTGAAAGAAGGATGGGAGGTTTTTAAGGAGCAGTACAACCCATAGCTCTGAGAGGCAGGGTCTGGCATGAAAGTGTGAGCAGACTGGGATGTTAGTTGCTCTGGAAGAGGTAGTACATAACAGCTGAGCAGAAAAGTTAAACTAAGTGTTTTTTATCCACTGAGAAAGTACTGGAAAGTGGTGGCTGATCCTTAGGAATAGGATTAGTGAGCCAAAAAGCAGCTGTGATTACAGGGTGGAAGTGCTATTGACGCACTCTCTCAAGGCTGGGCATGTGCTTCCTCATGTCCTTGTCTCTAAACTTAGGGAGCCGATTCTCTCTTCTTTTTTTTTGGCTGTCAACTTATGCTGGTGTAAGCAGGTCTGTCTCAATGTTGTGCTAATGGCAGAGGAGTTTGTGGAGAAAGGGAGGATGGGAAGGAGGTTTGTGAAGTGGCTCATGCATTTCTGAGGTATAAGGAAAAGTAAGAGTCAGCTGGGAACAGGTGTTTGGTTTTTGGGAGCCCTGGGTGGGTAAAGGGTTTGGAGGACATCAGTAGGGTTTTGAATGACTCAGGCAGTTAGCTCTGGGTGAAGGAAAGGAAGACCTGCCTTTGGGAATTCCTGCTATGGCTCCTTCTGTGGCCACAAAGGTACAGTCACGCTTGTGGAAGCCACTGTAGTTACTGAAGGCTCATGACAGCTATGTGCAGAGGACCCCAAGAGTCAGGAGGCCGTGACAGGAGCTGTACAAAAGCTCTAGATAAGACCAGCTTTCCTCCAAAATGCCTGACATCCAGGAACATGGTAACCAAGGTTGGTCATTTTAAGTGCAGCAGTATGGGACACTTTGAGACTGCTCCGAAGAAAGTTGTCAAGTCTGGGACGTTGGCTGGGATCCACCGGAGACGACAGGGGCATGCCTGCAGCAGGGTTAGGAGTGCCTGTGCTGTTATCTTCTGGTGGAAAGGGGTGTTGCTGCCTGCCTGCCAGCCTCTCACCTGCATGGGAGGCACCTACACAAGGTGGTATTGCAACACTGCAGGGGTAGAAATGACCAAGCCACCTGAGCTAGGTGTGAAGTGAGGCATCACAGAATAGCTGTGAGATGGTCTGGCACATGCCTACGCAATCCCTACATCATCAAACTCTATACTCAATGGACTTACTGTAACTCAAAGGAGGATTACTGACTAAGACCACATTTTTTGACTTTTTAAAGGAAAAAGCGGTGCCTCATCAAAAGACAGTGTAAAGCAAGAAAACCCAATAAAGTCACAGTGCCAGGAAGTACAGAACAAACCCACATCCCATCAGAACTAACATGCCTGTAGCTTTGCATCCAAAAATATTAGTCCATTTATTGCCCATTAAAAATTCCCTTTGTCTCTTCTCAGTTGTGGTGCCTGCTTGAGATCTTAAAGATGGCACTGTCAGTCTTTAAAGTAATATTTGAGATTAATTTACTCATTAACTTTCAAATGCAGGACACTTTGAAAACCTTTTCCTAAGGGCATCCCTGTGTTCTTTCTGAGGGAGTTACTGTTGTTTTCCCACCTCCCCTGAAGGATTGTTTATAATACCATCTCTCCCTTTTAATCCTCTTTTCCTTTCATGTCTAACAAACAGTGTTAAACAGAACACAGGGTGAAAAAGCAGATCTCACACATTATAATCATCTATAGTTGACTGAAGAAATGCTTCACAATTAGAGGTCTCATTTTGTAAATTACTGCTCAAGAAGCTTTTTCCTATGTATTTTCCAGATAAAACCTCTGTTCTTCGGAGCTCAAGGTTTGTATGTACAGTAACTAAGATAAAGGGTTTCTGAGTTGATATGCACTCTATACAGAGACTGAGCTGCTACAAACAGGATTTCTCTTATGAGATCCTGTACAGAGAGATGTCTAGAGATATTCACACAGGAATATGGGCAGTACTGAGAAGTTGAACTATGACAGAAAATATTACATTTCAAAACTAGCCACTGTTTCTGCTGAGTGTTTTTACAATATGCCTCGATTTTTCTAGCTCTTTTTGCCTTATATCTGATCACTTTAAGATGTGAATATATTTATAGTCACAATTTTTCCATGGGGTGGTGTGGAACTCCACATTATACAGATCTGAAAGGCTATAGTTTGATGCTGCACTTCTTTCAGCAGCAGCGCCAACATAAGCACCCCTTGATTCCCCCTTCCCCTCTCCCATCACTCACTCACCCCTCAGCTGTGCCAGTTTCCATGCTGTGTGGGAAACAAATCACAGAACACATCCAGGTTAAAAATAGCTGAAAAGGAGAGAGAGAGAAATGAATTCCAGAATCTGGACTAATGTCCTACATGTACATCCAAAGCTGATACAACAAAAGCTTTTTAGTTCAGATTCAATCTGTCTGTCCAGCTCCATCAAAAATTTTTACTGATTTCACATGGGAAAGGTAAAAGTTTCAAAAGCTATTGATTTCCTTCCTAAATTTTGTGCAAACTGATGGCTGGGTGAGGGATAGAGACCTCAGTTAAAGAATTGCAGCCAGCAGTCACCTGGCTAGTGAGTATGTGCATGCTGGCTGGCCACGTATGCATTAGCTGGTCAGACAGCATATACGTACTTGCCTGCAGCCCAGTAAAGGGTCTTAGAGCATACTGCAAGGCAAGAGTTGGGCTTGTTGCAGTAATTTTATTTTAGGAGGAGAGGAGAGAAGAGAGGTGACTATGAAGCAATGGTCACAGGCCCACAGGAAACCAAGAGCCATTAGTTCCACTGCTCACAAAGCAATTTGTTTCAAAAAAGCCTGAAATTCTACAAAATAAGACCTCTTCTTCAAGTGAGACAGTAAATCATACAATTTGGGAGGAAGCTGAGAGCTCAGCCTAACATTCCTGTTCAGACTTCAGCAACCACTTCTGCTTTTAGCACTCCAAACACCAGTGGAAACCACGGATACTGATCTCTTTCCGATAGTCAAATATCTCTTAAAGCTCTTATTTCTCCTGAATAACTCTTTAAGGCACTTGCTTAATCTCTGTTCCTACCTGCCTCCTTTCTAATCTACAAGAGCTTGCCATGAGCTCTGCTCCATTCTCTTCTTTTGTATCCTTCATGCTTCTCCTCTGGCCAGTGAATGGCCTCAACTTTGGTACAGGGTGGTACACAAAATATTCAGCGAATTTATGTGAAAATTATGAGTATTTTGGTGCAAACAAAAGCTGGCTCCTCCCCACCTCTTGGCAGAGGGAAGAGACCTCGCCACTTTTGATGACCTGCAGAGGGGACTGGGTAGAATGGGAGTCACAGAGTGGTGTGGGAGTCATAAGGCACCCTATGAGCTATCGCTGCAGTCCATGGACAGAAATGGAAGGGTCTTTATATTCCTGTTCTCATGCCTTCTTTTCAGCAGTGCTCCCACCTGAGAGTGTCGCCATCAGCTCTCCAGCACTTGAGGGTGTGCCCTCTGCCATGCCCAGGAAACCGAGTGCCAAGCATGCAGTGTCTGGTTGCACGTGCAGGATGCAAGTGGAGCTGTGTGGCTGCTTGCCCCTCCACTTGGGAAGGGAGCAGCAGACTGTCTCTGAGTCAGAAGCAGACACCGTCCTTAGCACAGAAAGCTTTCATCAGAACAAGTCTCTGATAGAAACTGTGTCTATTCCTATCATTTGTATGTTTCCCCAGTAACAGAAATTATCATCACCATAGGCAGGTCTTGGGCTTCTCCAGGTGGGAAACCAGAGGTTTTGGGCAACTAGGGATTTTCCTGGTGTGGGAAATCCCTGGGTGGCAATAATCCAGTGTATTGGGCTCTATGCCATCCCTGCTGCAGACACTCAAACATTACTGGGAGTTGCACCCGGTGTGATCTGTTTGCAGATACTCCAGTCTCACCACAGCTATGGAGCAAGGTGTGACGGGAAAGACCTGAGATGGCTCTCAGGGAATCTGCATGCGTGAATTCCCATGTCATTGCATACCTTTGAGTTTGCTCCAGTCTGTCCACTGGGTTACCTGCTAGAGCTCAGCTCAGCTCCTGCAAGAGAAGTGTCTTCCTAGACCTTCCTAGCACTGACTCCGCTTCCAGAACTAGTTTCTGTAGGGAATTCTTTTCCCCTCAAATGGAAGAATACAACCATTTTGCACAGGTGACACTGGGGACCTGTAAAGGAGATCTAAAGCAGAAGCTAGGGCTGCCTTGCTGGAAGGGAGTGCTAAAAGGTCCCAACCCCTCTCCTCACCAGACACAGGAGCGCAGGAGGTGCTGGTGATTCGCTACCAACATGGAGCAGCCTCATGCAGAGTGGAGCAGCCCTTATATTGCTGTAAGTGATGTTAGGATCTTACTTTATCCTTCGGCAACTACAGAATTTGGGGAAGTGGTGGCAAGGGATAATGATCAGAAAGCTGGCAGAACTTGTGTAATTGGTGTATCAAAGGTCCTTTTCCTCTCCTCCAGTCACATTTTAACAGTACCCTCTTTTATTCTATGTGTCAGTAAACAACAAAATCATTACTGATAAAACTTGCCTGAAGCAACAAGACACATGTGAACAATAAAGCACTGAGAGCCACATTTTCAAAAGTGTGTGTGCAGAAATGTCTATTGTACAATGTATAAGCAGCATGTGGTCTGGATGTGGCAAGCAGCAACGGGAGAGGAAAAGGGGAACAGATGGAACCTGTACATGAGCGACAAGAGCGGACATAGGCTCAGATCAAGTTTTGTACTGTGCAGAGGCCGAGCTTTTGAAAAGCTTTAAATAATAACCACATTTTAAGGAGGACTGCACTAATGGGGCATGCAGATAAGTGCCCCGAATGGTGGAATTGCAGAGGACACAGCAGTGGAGACAATGATATACATAGAGCATATGATAAGTTTGGTCTGACATGCTAGCCATGCGTACAATCAAAGGTGTGCACGTTTCAGAAACATCAGCCTCCCTGAAACCTCAATGACTTAGCAATAAAACATCAGGAAACGATAAGTCAGGGTCAGAAAGGTCTGAGAATTCCACACAGCTGAAATAAAGATTGAGCAAGAGGAATTAGCATCAAGAAATCAGATTCAGATGTTTAAAGCCGATTGTCTGAACCAAGTTAATATAATGCACCATGTGTCACTTCAAAACATTCAGGGCATGCAGCTGGGAAGCCCTTCCCATGATTGTGAAATGCAGCAGCTCGCTGTATCTGAGAAGGCTGGGGAAGACATGTCTACAAGGAGACTATAAATGATGAATTGGGATTACAGCCTTTACTGTCCCGGTTGAGTTTTATCAGTTCTCTGGGCCACTACCACAGAAAACAAGCCTGGCAGCAAGGCCGTATGAAGCTCCTACCTTCACATATTCTGGACTTGCCCTCTCTCTCCTTTCCTCTCCTCATGGACTGAAAATGCTTGTGCTCTTTTAGCCAACTGCAAAGCACTCTGATGATCAGCACCCCTTGCTCTTGCTTTCATTCTGTTTAAAAGAACACCTATTCAGCTATCCAGTCTTTTCAAGGAAAATTATCCTCTCTCCATTCCACCAAGTCTAGTGTTGGAGTACACAGCTCCAGAAAATCATATTTACAAACCATCAATGCTATGGGACAATCACGTTTTCACTTGTCCTCACACAGGCACAGAAAGAAGCCTTTACCTGCATTAATGCAGACCAGCACAACAACCACTTCTGTGGGACACTGCAAGTCTGCAAAACTTGCACACTTTCAGTGCTAATTTTTTTATTCTCGGGTGGGTTTATATCATTGTACAGATACACGTCTCCTTCAGCCTAGCAAAGTAATCAAAAAAATCCAAAAGTGTCCACCTGAAAACCACACCTTGTGGAGAATAAGAATCCCATAGGTATGAGGGTTTTGCAGGATGGCAACTTGTTTGGTTTGTGGATTTGTTAAATTATATAGCTGGTGGGAGTGACTCTTTCCTGTGATAAGATCAAACACTCATCAGTCCTTGAGTGAGAAACTAATTAAGCAGAGATCAGCATAAACTCTATAACAATACTCCTCCATGAACTATCTGCTCATGGAGACCCGTTCTGGATTGGGGTGATGGTGTACATACAGAAATATTTGACAATACAAGTATTAGGCTTTCAGATCATAGATCTTTTCCCCTGCTCTATTCACATGCATTTTCGTGGCAGCTGGACATGCATTATACAGTTACAGGCTAAAACTTTCTCTGGTACGTCTCTGTGACACTAAAGACAAATGTGACACTGTGATTTATCTTGTGAACAAAACAGACCAGGGCGTGTTCTGTCCCCCATCAGCAAGTGGCACAGCAGAGCTTTTATATATGGTAAGCTCCTCTCCCACAGCCACCCCCAAACAAAAAAGGGTGGCCAGCCTAAGGAACAGCATCTCAGGGAGCACTCAGAGGCAAAGGGCAGAGGTGTGTCAGGGAATTTTCGAACCCAGGCCCTCTCCTGGAGCAGATACAGCCAAGACAAAGTCACTTCTTTCACTCTAACTCCAGTACTTGCTGATTTCAGAAGACTATCTCAAATTCAGTGTCTTTTGTCACTTGAAGCCGAAGTGCATAGTCTGCGTTTTCCACCCATACTATGGGACGTTGGTTGGGGTTTTCTCTGTTGCCGACAGCTTGAAATTTCCATTTGCAGCTCCTTCCTGTTTCCTTTTCAGACATGCATCATACAAACCCAGAGTGGCTGCACCAGTTTACCAAAATGGTGAAAAGAGAGGACATTCCTTACCACAATGACAATAATGTACCTAGTCAACACTGAAGCAGCAGAGGCAGACCTGGGCAGGCTTTTCCTGGTGTCCTGTCAGGTGCCCATAACCACATCCTGAGGATACATACCTTGGTGCCAATGGCTACCTGAAGTCCATGTCCAGAGCTCACATCCTTCCTGGAATGCCACCCAGCATACTCACACATCAGCACTTAGGGACTGGGAAGCATGCAGGGGCATTTTTTTAATTTAAAATTTGCAGCACCGCTGCTGCCTCAAAGAGAGTTGAGTCATTTACTGCAAGTGCTGAAAAGGACTGTGTGCGTGCTGGGGTGGCATACATCTCATGTGTCCCCAGCATGGGAAGAAACCTCTAGGAGAGGTCTACTCTCATTTCATAGGTAGACCCCATGAGAAGTCGGGACTTGCTGCCTAGAGCCCATACCTGCCCACAAGCCTCATAGTCCTGAAATGTACTGGCCATATGGCACCTAACTATGTCTGGGGACCTCCAAGCCATGCAGCACGTCACTGTGCCTGGCAGAGAGCTGGTGGAGCCCATGGCACTGTTCCACCTTACTGCAGCTCC